TCCACTATGCTGACACGCCTCGAATGCGTTCAGGACACGGTCAAGATACTGTTAGGAGACGGTCAAGATACGATAGGACCATTTTTTTAATATACAAAAATATTTTAGGGCAGTTTTATAAATATCAAACCTTCTAAAACCTAAAACTTTCCAACCCCTTAACTTCAATTCTCTTTCAGCCCTTCTCTCTATTCCTTCGCGGCGTCTCTACTCCCAAGTCCTTATTCCAATCCTATTCAGTCTTCTCTCAAGTCATCTCTTCAGTCCTCTTTCCCTCGAAATCACAAACCTTTCTTGATGAACCGAAACTAGAGGCAGTGATCTTTACTAATGACAAAATTGAAGTTCAAGAGGAAATGGAAAGAGACTTGAAGATCATTAAGACTCAAATCATGTGTTGTCTTAATTATTATGTTTGTGTTTTAATTATTATGTATGGTGAATAAATTTCATAAACTTCAATACTTTGTTATATTATGCACTCGAATTCGAAGTATTGTTTTTATATATATAATATTTTTTATATTTTAATCCTTGGGTTCTAACTGTGTCAGTATCTTTCTTTTTAAGTTTTTCATGTCACCATGTGGTCGTGTCGCTCTCGTCGTACCCGTGTTCGCGTTCATGTCCTTGCAACCTAGCTTTATGGGGTTTGGTTGAGCTCAGTGGCGAACATTCCCTCCACCTCCCCACGTACTGGATAAGAGAAATGTGTTGACATAGTCGCTTAAGAGAAAGTCAGAAAGGCATCACTGCCGCCCACGTATAATTAAAGTATGAAGGCAGATTGTCTGCCCTCGTGTTTGGGTGCATTTTCTATCCCTTTTTATTTATGCAGTCACAGTTAAGCCACGTTAACATTTTATATTTTTATTACTTTTGTCTTATTATCTCTATAAAAAAATCAATATAAAATGTTGATATGATTTAATCGTGACCGCACAAAATAAGAAACGATGGGAAGGGCACCCAAACAGAAGGGCACACAATCTGCAGTGTTAATTATTTGAGCAAGTTTGACTGCTGAATCTAATAGTCAAGTCAAGTAAACACAACCAAAATAGAGCTGTCAACTAGCCGTACGTTGTTACCGCTTGTGTCCTCAAAATTGTGATAAGATGATAACGGTATAATTAAATCCCTAATTAATATGGTCTCAAGTCTCAATCGTATTTCTAATGTAAACACAACCAAAATAGAGCTGTCAACTAGCCGTACGTTGTTACCACTTGTGTCCTCAAAATTGTGATAAGATGATAACGGTATAATTAAATCCCTAATTAATATGGTCTCAAGTCTCAATCGTATTTCTAATGAATATTATTATAAGGTACCTAAAATCTTAGGGGGTGTAATCAAATTCGGATTTGAGATCCTGGTGTAATCAATTAAAAGATTTTAAAGGATTTTAAAATTCATTCAAATCTAGATGTAATCAATTAAAAAAATGATAAATCTTCGGCTAACAAGTGTCGTCAAAAAAATAAAAACAAGAATCTAGTACATAGGTACCTCACTTTTTTGTAGTTGAAACCAAACACAAAACTAGAATATACCCACAACTATTAACAACATGCTACGTAAATAATTTAGAAATAATTGCCAAAGAGGTCAAAAAGAATAGGTGAAACCAAAAACTCCCCCAATCCCCACCAAAAACATTACAATAATCAACCAACCTAAATAAAAAGGAAACCAAGAGAAACACAGATTATATTTAATTCTTAAACGCTAAAATAAATTTAAAAAATGAAAGAAAAGAAGGTATGAAACACGCTTGTGTTCCAAGTTCCAAGTACTAAATGACACAAATCTAGTTAATCAAAGAGGAGGTTTGCCCGTACCTTCACTGCAACTAGTTTAATTAAGATTCATAAACCTTGAAACGTTGTTTGACCATTCAGCTTTGGTTTACTCCCCTCAGGCTCCTCACCATAAAACCTGCCCCTCCACACCCTTCCTTGTCACCACTCAACACAACTCAAGAAAACCTCAACTCATCGTTGTTTATTTCACAATGTGCTTCTCTGCTGCTTCAACCACACCGGCCGTCGACAAGGGCGACAAAGCTTCAATCTATGCCGTCCATCGCGACATCATCACGGCCCACATCCTCACCTGCCTCGACGGCCAGACCTTGGCCGCTGTGGCCTGCGCATCGTCCGAACTACGCGCTTTCTCCGCCGAAGAAAAACTCTGGCGGGACATCAGCACCGCCATGTGGCCTTCAACCACCGATCCACGTGTTAACGACCTCATTTCCACTTTCCCAGCCGGTCACCGCTCTTTCTTCTCCGACTCTTTCCCGCTCCTCGACCACTCCCCCTCCCAATTCGCTCTCAGCCCTTCGTCTCCCACCGCGGAGTTAATCTCGGCCGTCGATATTTTCTACAAAGGCCAGCTCATTTTCTCTAAGGTTCAGGCATCAGAGACCGAATCCGAGTGGTTCCTCTGCTCGCCCTTCCGGGTGGACTTGCTTGACCCGAAAGAAACCTTTCGGACACCAATCCGACATGCCGGAGAAGGCCAAAAGTCATTGAAGCACTTGGAGGAGAACTTGAGTTTGAGCTGGATCGTGATCGATCCGACCCGGAAACGGGCGGCGAATTTGTCGAGCCGAAGGCCGGTGACGGTGCAGAAGCACAGGCTGACGGGGGAAATACACCTGCGGTTCGCGACGATATTGGTGGGGGAGAAGAAGGGTGAGTATGTGCAGTGCGGTGCAGTGGTCACGTGCAAGGGGACCGAAGGTGGGGAGCTGCACGTGAGGGAGGTGAGCATGCATGTGGAGGCCATGGAGGGGAATCATTTGAACGGGAGGGAGAGCTTGGTAATATTGCAGACGTCGATCGAAGGAGGGAAGAGGAGGAAGGAGATAAAGGGGAAGGCGAGGTTGGAGGAGTACTTGGAGATGAAGAGAGAGGAAAAAGAGAAGGGAGAGGAGAGAGAAGGCTTTGGACATGATCTGCATTGCCACTGGGGTTACTATTTTTATGGCGTTCTGGTCATTCATCTTGTTCAGATAGTCTAAGAGATGATGATGATGATGAAAAACCCAGATTTTGCCCCTTGTCAATTGTAATATAACCACAGATTGTTCCCGTTGTATATTAAGATCTAACACTACGTGCACTATAACTGTTGTGGATTACAAATTGGCCACGGCTAATGCCTGTTATAAAAAAATTTCTAAAAATAAAATAAAATATTGTTTAATAAATGTATTATATAATATTTACAAACAAAATTACATATTTACTATAATATAACAATTAAGGCCCTGTTTGGCAAATCGGATAAAGGATCGGATAGAATTAATTATACGGACTCGGATGTTTAGCGTTCACTCGTACTAAATAAGTGCCGGATTAGGATTAATTTAACCGGTCGGATAAGATAACACGGTATAGACCCGTTTAATAAAACCGACCAAAACGCCCGGATTATTTAGTCGGGGAAGAAGAATATGGGAGAGAAAGGGAGGGAGTTTGGGGGGTGTGGCGGAGAGAGCTGGGGTACAATTATTTGGGATTCTTCTGCAGTCAGGGAAGAAGGGAGAGAGAGGGAGGGTGTTTGGGGGGTGCGGAGAGATCTGGGAACAAAAAAATGATTTCACTTTTTTTAAATTTTTTTTTTTTTAAGTTTGATTCCTCCTATCTAGTATAATACCAAACACAGTATAAATAATACGATCACTAGTCCGATACTGCACCAAACACCCGACTAATTTAGTCAGTACTATCCGGTGGCTATTTATCCTATCCGACAAAAATAGTCAGTACAGTCCAAGCTGCCAAACGAAGCCTAAATAAAAAATCATAGATTCAAACATTACAACTGTACACTAAACTAAAGCTAACAACAAAACGATGAGATATACAAAGAAATACCAAACTATCCAAAGACCTTCGACAAACAAGGACATTGTCACTTGAAGACTTCACATTTCTTTGAACACCTCCAAACAAAGGACCTTGAGAGTGAACTACCACCCCTAATGCTTGAACCTTAGCAATTGTTGCCTCTCTCTATCTAGATGGACATAAGCATATGGATCAAGAAAAAAAAATCTTGTACTTGTATAGGTAAAAATATACATTTGATCTCAATCAAGAAAAGTGAATATAACTCTTGAAAAATTATATTAAGGGGGGCTCCTTTGAGAAAAGATAAACACATGATAGATTAAGAACCAGCTAAACAGAGCCACTACATATATTTCTGCAAATATATACCATAAAAGATTAGCCAACCCAATACCATGAACAAAAATTTTGTTTAGAGGAGATACAAAAGAACATAAGAACACAAATTTCCATCAACATATTCCTGATTGAATCAGTTTTTCGTCAATGAGTGAGAAATAACGATACAAACTGGGCACAACCTAAGAGCACAACTGTATAAAGAGATTAAGACCTGCACAAACAGAACTACCAACACAGCTCTAATGCAAAACTTTCATACTCAATCATAAAAAAATAAGAGGAACCCATTACAACAATTCACAAACACAAGTCAAAATTCGACAAAAAAAGAATCACATACCGAGAAAGGATTTGCCTTTCAAGATCCATCTTCTGTGGAAACCCACTTCCATAAGTGTACCCCCAGACTTATCACACCAAAATCTTATCACACCAAGCTTAGAAATCAAAACTCATCACTCAAAGACATCAAATACAAAAAACCAACCAAACTTATCACACCAAAATCTTCAGAATCGCAAATGTCCTATAACTGTAACTGATATAAGAACCGGTCCTTCTCTAACAAGGATGCACATGGTGCAGATATTTCAATAAACAGAATTATCAACCCAACCATATAAACCTTCAAACTTTATGAAGATATTCAAGCATTAGAGCTAGAGGTGTCAATAATTCAATCCTTAGCAGAGCATCCACTAGATTTATGTATGCTAGAAAACCTATTACATTTTCTCTAAACAATAACAAAAAGTTGAGAACCCAAGCATGAAAAGCAGTTTTGTTTTCCTGAATATTTTCATCATGAGTAATGGCAAGCTTTTCGAGCAGAAGTTCTTACAGTTTACGTGTGCCTTCGCAACCATTTAGAAGGTACAATTTCTGTTATTTTTATGGAGTGATTACAAGTTGCCGCAGTGTCATGTTGATTGACGAAAGAATCAGATTCTTTTTTACCTCTTGATCAGGCTTTAGAAGGCTCAGCTCAATCTACCTTCCGTCTATGTCTTTAGATGAGTAGGAAATCAGAAACAGAATGGTGATGTACATGTTCCTTTACCTGCTAGGATGCTCTCATACATACTTTAACAACCAATCTAGGCTCTGTCAAATGTAGCACATTGTCAGCTACATTAATATACAATGATTATATTAAATTGCAATCGAAACTCTTAGGAACTTAAATGGAGAAATGAAAATGCGATCAAAATTCATGATATCAGAATTCATCCATACCTCTAGTGTAGATCATCACCTTCTGTTCTCACATGAGTCTGCAAAACCATGAGATCGTGTCAACGAGTAATTGAGAACTGGATGTGTTCTTCACAATAACAGAACCATGTCGCTCTACATTATAGTCTAATGTAGTTTGAAAGAAAAATTCTGGCAATTACCTCTATTACTCGTTGGCACGACACATCACGATTGTCTTCTAAAGAAGCCAGGATGACAAGAGCAGCTGCAACAGTTGAAGGCCAGTAACGAAGTTGGCCGTGGTCCTGCATCTGCAGGACTGCCAGGTACCTGACAGGGAAACGGAAAACACATAAATATAACAAAATTCAATACGAGGACCGAGACTTATCACACCAAAGAAAACATCAACCAAACCCATTATCCCAACTTTAGACATTCCAACTGTAACATCGAATTTTTGCCCCACCCTCACAAAACCCTCAAAAGGCACCAAAATTAAAATAAAAAAATTCATGATGATTTCTAGAATCAGACCTCAAACAATCAGTACAACAATCAAATGATCTTACCTCAAAATGCTTTTCAAGTCCTCCTTGGTTAAGATTCATCTCGAAAAGCTTCAGGCCTTACATCTAAACCAAACACGGGACTATCTCAAACAAAATCAGAACGCAAAGTACAATCAAAATCCTTAAAATCAGTTTGCCCAACCCTAAATCTAATAATTTTATGAAATACTATAGCACCAATTGAGAGAGGAATTGCGATAATACCTAAAGATCAGAGAGAGAGATGAAAGTAAGAGCGTTTCCTGTACTGGGGGTTCCGAAAGAGAATTACAGGAAAAACTAATGGATTTATGCATCAGAAACATGAATTAAAGATGACAATTAGAAGGGGAAGGAAAAAAACCTGAGGGCTTTGATTTTGACGACGGTTTCGATTTCCACCGGAAGGAGGCTGTCGGTCTATCTATTTGCAGCGAGGGAGAGGGAGAGAGAGGGGGAGAGGAGTGGACGAAACCGCTTAATTTTAACTTTTTTACCAATTCCTTGCGTCTATTTTCTAGTAGTGTGAAATTTGAAAGATTTCAAATTTTGGGAAATTTTCGATTTTTTTTTAATCCCGCCTTCTGATTTTTTGTTTTTTTAAATAGTGTACGTAATTGCACTACATTTAATGTCCGTGGTAAATAAAACAATGCGGTGTAATTATTAATAATATTGACCATATTGACCACGGTTAATATCCGTGGTGGTTTAATATTTTCATAACGTGCTAATTAAAACCATGGTAGTAAATTATTTTATTATAAGAGACCATTACTTACCTGTTGTAAAACACTATTATCTACAACATGCTGACTAAGTCCGTGGTAAATGGTCACTTTTTATAACGGGCACATAATGTTCGTGGTAAAATTAATGTGATCAATGAGTTATTTCCTTGTAGTATATTGGTTCAAATTAGGTGTATATGGAAGATGCATGTGTCCCATTTTCTGTTCCAAATCTCGTACGTACTATTGTTCCAAAATCTTGTACGTACCAATTGGCTAATAAGTTAATATAATGTTAATCAATAAAAGTTGAGGTTATACCATAAACTCAATTGGTAATATGTGGTGTAGCCTAATTTATTTACAAGTCATTATAAGCCATGTAAGGTTCATCTCCAATCAATGTGAGATTCATTCTCAACATGCTCCCTCATGTATGGAAACTTCTCAAGCCTAGCATTTTGACAACACAAATCGAGTAAAGAGGAGCACATATAGTCGTTGGATCTTACACATGGGACAAGAATCATGAAGAAAGTTGAGGTTTCACCATAAAAATATAGAAAATAATCTAACTTACTTATAATCCATGCAAGATACTTCTTCCTATTAATATGAAATTCATTGTCAACGGGTCACTTCACAACAAAATCTAATAATACGAACCGTATTATTTCAAAGATCATCATTTGAAATCCTTCCAAAAAATTAGTGAATATCCATGCAGCGATGGTCTGAGGGTGTTGGGTCCTTTCAATATATCTTTGATATTTGAAATCGCAATTGATTTTCTTCGGTTTAATTTATTAAGAATAAAAAATGTCTTTCTGTAACAACCAACAATTGATTGATTAGGTTGAGAGTATTGATCACTCAGTACTATGGTATAGTGGTATTCCTCTTTAATTAGAAATAAGAGGTTTTAGGTTCAAATCTCGTGTATGGCAAATTCGATACCAAATTAGGTTGCCCATTGTTAAAATATCGATGTACTAAAAAAAATTGTGAGTTTTGAGATTAGTATATGTGGAGGTAGAGGCAAAAATGTGTTTTTGTAACAACCAACAATTAATTAAAAGATTAATAAGAGCAGTGCTTGCCTTATGTATTAATCTCTTAATATATGATAAGGACCTTTTTGTCTTCTAAATATTTCTCTCAAAAGAAGGGCCAGTGCATCATTAGTGGATGACCCTGGTAGTTATTTAGAATGTTTCACGCCATTTATTATTACAAGTTAATGAAATTTTTTTTCATTTTTAAGTGAGAAGTCTTTGGTTCGATTCTCACAAATCGCGAATTTGAATTACATTATTACTAGCCTATTGTAAGGCTAAACTCACTCCTCATCTTAGTATAAATAATATATTTTGTTAAAAAAAAAAAAAAAAGGGATCTTTCTTTTTAATTTATTACGTTTGAAGGTTTAAATCTTTCCTTCTCCCATTTAAATTAATGTAAAATAATCGTTATTATAGCACTCTAAGGCCCTGTTTGTTTGGGCTCCTTAGCTAGCGGTAGCTAGGATTGGCTTAGCTATTGTCCTAGTCCCTTGTTTGACCTGGTTAAAGGATTAATTTTAATGAGACTAGGTGGAATTCACTCTCACTAAAGACTAGGGATGGTTCGGTATGGGATACCATACCGAAACTAGTATCCCGAATCCCAAATCAAAATTTTTCGGAACGGGAATTTGAAGACCAATCCCAAACCAAATTTTCGGGAATCCCAAATTTCGGGAATCCCGAAATATTTTCGGGATTTTGGGACAAATCGGGAATCCCAAATTGAAATATGAAATTATGAATTGTTCTTCAAATATATAGTTCAAGAACACATTCATGAACTAGGAATTTCATTTCATTCACACTACCATTTAATTGAACACTGGCATGTCTGACTGTTTTTATCATAGTCAAAATTCAAATTAATTAAACCTTTTTTGCAATATGTTGAGAGACAAAAGAATCAAGCCTTCTAAAATCATCAGCCATGTCAGCAGCAATAATAAAATCCACATGAATATCAAACAAAACATGAAAAATATGCAAGGTGTAGGGCATTCCAGGTTGCAGAGCATGAATTAGAAACTACTAGCATCAATTATAAAAGAATAATATATATATATATATATATATATATATAATAATTAATATTATATATTTTCGGTTCGGTATGGGATTCCCGAAATATCGAGAAGTCAATCCCGAATCCTATACCGAAATTTTGGGATCGGTTCGGGATAGCATCCCGAAAATTTCGGGAATTTCAGTTTGGGAAATTTTTTGTTTGGGATCGGGATTTTTTCGGTTCGGTTCGGGATTTTTGGGAATTTTTTCCACCCCTACTAAAGACCTCACTGCTAATACCAATAATGAGTCTCAAATTGATGGAATGAGGGATCTTGGCTTATAAATAAATTGAGCTACTCCCCATATTGCCACTTGGCTTTATGGTGGAACGTCAACTTTCTTTATGGTATCAGAGCATGTCCCACATATGAAGCTAAACAGTCACACGCGCTTCACGTCATCCCGTTGTATTGCCCACATGTTAGGCTTGAAAATTCATCACAGAGTGTGTTGAAAATGAGTCTCACATTGATGAGAAGATGAACCTTGCATGGGCTTATAAGTAAGTTGAGCTATTCCTTATATTACCAATTAATTTTATATTGGAACCTCAACTTTCTTCAATCCAAAGCTCGGTATTAGCAATCCTTAGCAATCTTGTGCCTCCTCATTTGTGGTGACCCAGCTAGCCCACCATCACCGCGACCTATCCCTCCCAACTCTCATTCCCCTCCCAATTCCTTCTCCTCGTACCTTACTGGAACCCTTGTGCACTTCCACTATCTTGTTGTCGCACCCTCACCTCCTTTATTTCTCAATGGTGGCGGTGAACTGTGAGAGATCAAATCAAAAACAAATCTTCAATAATTGTGATTGGATCAGGATAGAAGTTGGAGTCGGAGTCGGAGAGTTTGAGGAAGCAGATTTAGCAATGAAATATGAGTATTTGTTATGGAAAGTTTTTCTTAGAGAGTCCGCAATCAAGCAACCCATTTTAAACAAATTTGAAGCTCTGTGTGAGAGAGAAAAGATGGGCTAGGATATCGAAGATGGCTTAGGATAAGTTTTTTTTTATATAGTTTTTGTTTTTTCAAAGGCAGAACTAAATCTAAAAAATGGCAAAAAAATTATATTGGTTTCAAAATTTGTTAGTTTATAGCTTAATCCAGTAGTGCACCAAATCCTTTATAATTCTTATCTAACTTAGTTCAAACCAAGTTAGTACGTCCAAACTAGTCTAGTCCGAAATAATTTGGTGCAATAAATGCACTTTAAAAGTCAAATAACAACTCCATGTTGGTATGAGTATCACTAATATTATATCACTTTCAAAGTAAAATAAATACATTGTATGAAGTTATAAGCTCTCACGAGGTAATGACTCTGAAACCAGTCTTGATTTTTGGAGGCAGATTATCTGCCCCTCCTGATATGGTGCCCTTCTCATGCCCTTCTATTTGCGCGGTCACGATTAAGTCACATCAACATTTTATATTCCTATTGTTTTTTGTCTTATTATCTCTATAAAAAAAATCAATATAAAATGTTGACGTGGCTTAACCGTAATCACACAAAATAGGAGGACATGGAGAGGGCACCATATCAGAATGGGAGACAATCTGCCTCTCTAATTTTTAGCGAATGTGAAGAATAAGATGCCAAACTTATAGTAAAAAATCAATAGGATAGTACAAGAAATAAAGAACATGAATTTTAAAAGTGATTATTTATTGTTCTTCGCACTGCAGTCATTTCATTAGAGTCAAATTCTTTGGGCAAGCTCAATCATATTTACACGTTTTCCACGGCTTTGCCGGACTGATCGGTCAACTCGCACGTTTAGAGTGTGCACAACACCATTGTTTTTAAAGATAATGTAAAAGTGTTATAAATGACGCACATAGCGAGTAATTATAAATTAATTATATATTTTTTTTATAAATACAGGCATATGCCAACTAATCACCAAACTCAATCGAGTAAATTTAAAGGAAAACTAATGAAAAAAATTTGAAAACTTTGAGTTTTAATGATAAGGATAAAATAAAGGGTAAAATGAATAGTACCAGGATTGACTTTTTAGTGTAAAAATATAATTTTTCGTTAAAATAAATAGTATCGTGTGCTTTTTGTTAAAACTCTCTAAATTTAATTGTGATGTGTAGAATGTGCTCCTGACTTTTGCAAATGCAAAAGTTATGCGCGCCTGCCATTTTAGAAAGTTTGTTGATGTGATAAGACGTGAAGTGATTTTTATTCTATCCAATCGACCTGGCATCATTTCTACAAATGTTTGTACGGTTATATTCAGACCATCATACATATTACTAGTGAATAAGATGATGAATGACATTCTTTCACATTGTGTGCTACGATAATGTACTTTTTGCTTTTTCAAATTAACAGCAAGATACGACATTTACAACATCAATGCACTCATCAACGTTGAGGTTATAAAATGTCATTTTCTTCAATAATATTGTCTATGTTGTGAAATTAAAGATATTTGTGCAGTGAAATATAAAATAAATAAGATATAATATCTGCAAAGTTTGACAAGTGTGCCTACATATGGTCT